CTGCGCTCCATCTGTCAGTCTCATTCTGTCTGCGTCTGCTCCGTATCTCTGTCTCAGTTCTCCCACACACACGTACGCATCCTTCAGCTTGCTCTCTCGCCACCTCCAAAGGTCGTGTAAGGTTATCCCTTTAAATATAATATGAGCACTCTGTGTCGTCAAGGTCGAGTGGTCGAGATATCGTACATATCACGTTGGGATGGAGAGGTCGACTCTCGACGGTGGTGGGACTTTGAGTTTTTACACTGTCGTACTCCCCAAGCGTGCTTATCGCCGTTACGCACAGACGAAACTATAGGTGCATTTATTATGACCACCACGAAGGATTTAGATTAATTCTTAGATAAATATTTGTTCTCCGTCGTCATAATACTTACTATACATTATAATATAAAGAAAAACGAAATAGCGTTTTATGTTAAACCACCCCGATCGCACACAGTAGTTCGCGACCTGCAGTATTATAAGTCTTATACTCGTATAGGTGATATTATTATATCGACTCCAACACGGGATTGTACAACACTAATCAATTTCATCGAGGCCACAACATTCTTAAACGACGATTTATTTATTTTTTACATTCAGGTAATCTGTATCGTTTTAGATATAATAATTATCTTAATTATTAATTTAATAATTAAGATATATTAATTATATTGCGAAACTAAATTAAAAAAATTACAATGAAGTATTAATAATAAATAATTTAAAATAACTTTACCCATACCGTATATTTTGTAATAATATACTGGTCGAAGAAATCAATAAGCGATGCTTGCGTTTACATAATATCGGGAGCCCCCTCGATCCGGGCGCGTCGGGTGTTTTCGTGAGCAATTCGTCAACGTTCTTCAGTTAGATTAATGAACTAATAAACGCAATACGTGAGCGACAAATTTAATTGAATTAAGCACAGCACGTGCCACCTACATCCACGTGTGTTATAACCACGATATCGCATATTATTATAAATTACATATTTTTATGTAGGTGCATGAATACACCCTGATCGTGACGTCGATCATTCTCGTGTGATGGAATTATTGTGTGAATTAAAATAGACGTTTCAAACACTACTGATACCTGCAAAGTACAGATCTTTGTCATTTCGGGTTACAATTTGTAGGCCTTTCATTCGATATAGACAGACCATGTTGGCCCTCTTTGAATGACTCAGCCACTCCCAAAACAAATCTTTAGTAAGGCGTATATCTGAGTATTTATTATTATTTATACGTAATTAAAAAAAAAAGATTTTTAATTCAAAGTCGTTTAAGTTCTAAATTGCCACAATGGCTATACAGTATACGACCATCCACGGGCGATGACGACATCGGGATTTCATTCACCATTCATTTTTATAATTTGATTTGTAAGCTACGTCCCCTGACTGACGCCGTCACTGTCTCGCAGAGTCTATGATGAGTTTTGTCTTTATAATTCAGTATTAATAATTTAATCGAATATGTTTTTCTTACATCCGACCTGCATCAACTCGTCCTTCTCTTTGTTAATCGTAGTCGATGATTTTTTTTCATTTAAGTCGTCTTCACTATTCGATGATTTCGGTCACGTACTGCACGTAATACTCTTAGAATAATGAAAATAATAAATATACCTTCCCCGAAAATATGGTTTAACGTCAGGTAAGGTGGTTGGGGATCCCAGCGAGAGGGTCTACAACTTTTAATTATCCTCCCGTATACCACACCCCACACCTATCTCCCCGTATACATTGTGTGTGTGTGTTATCAGGAAAATAATTTGTCCTCGAGTAAGTTTTTACTTCCATCCACATCGACTTGGAACAATATAATAATAATAACGATATTATGTAATATTATTATGAAGCTATAAATACTGTGGAGGTCCAATAATAGCTACGAGCTCAAAAGGGGTCAGCAAAACGGCGCATCGGTTATGCAATATAGCTACATTGGACCGTTTACATGCAATAACATTAATTATTCTAATTATTTGAATTAAGCAATCTATACAATTTATGTTTAATAAGCTAAGTGAAGTCAGGATGAAGTTTAACTTGAAATTTCGAGGAGAATCCGCCCACCCTTATGACACTCCTAAGTCATGGATATAGGGTTAGGTTACCATTCCCGACATAATTTTCTTTTCAGTCTGGAACGCAAACATAGCATTATATTATATTAGTACTATGGGCATTGGTATCAAATGTGCACCAATCGACTGCGCATTTGCACGCAACAGTGGCAATACAATAAACAGTAATAATAATATGCCGCCTGTGTAAATACAGTAATAATATTATCGCGTGTAACCCGGTAAGTGGTCGTATCGGCGGCTAGTTGATAAAAACCCCAGTGTCGGTAAACGGGCACGTTCGGCCGCGATGAATCGATTTTTTTGTTTTTTTTTCACAAGAATCCCCATTTTTTCTCTCTCTCTCTCTCTCTATGCACGTTTATAATAACATAATAATAATAATAATAATAATGTAGAATATTATATAATATATAGGTACTGTATTTGGCTCGCGAGTTCGTAATAACATTGCACTACGCCCGCCTTCGTGTAATCGAAATGGGATTTCGACAAACGATACATCATAACCATCCGATATTGCATACTTTACCTACCTACGGCCTGCAAAACGCCGAGTTTTCTCAAACGAGCGCCTTTCACGTCCCCAGTCCCGTACCTGCGCACCCATCCCGTTGTTAGCATGATATTAGCTGAAGCCACCACCCGTCACTGTACCATATACCATATACCTACACACAATGTTATATACCGAACAAAACAAATCACCGGATTCGCGTGGAACTTTTCACGAACAAAAACGTCGAATCGCTACCCCTAGCAGCACCACATTATTATTTTTTCGTCGTCAACGTCTTTTTTTGTCGATGGTTTTTATCGTCCCGGCGTGCGGCTAACCATTTTCGATGGGTACGCAGTCGTCGTCATTCGCTTTATGGCCGATCCACTACGATCATCGGTCCATAAAAAATATCATACTGTTATCTTTACGAGAGACCATGCCACCTGCGGGACCAGATTTATATGTATCCATGATGAGGGGGGAGGGGATACGCATATCGGTTCCAACTATTGATTTTGTATCGACTGGGCCAGCTACCGTTCTTATTAATATACTGCTTGTCAATTCCGACGAGCCTTACATTAAATATAATATATTTAAATGTTTAAAACTATATTGTAAACTTTAAAAGTGTTGATAATTGGTACATAGAATATTGCATAATATATTATGTTGATAACAATTATTTAAATGATCATTCTTAAACCGTGTTTGATTTTAAATTGTTTTTTTTTCAATATTTTGATTTTTCTTATCAATTTTACTAATGAATAACGCATAGTATAAAAGTTAATGTTTAGTCTTAAAAATCGTGTTAAAAAAAATACATTTATTAGTATACTTTCTACTATAGAAATATTAATGAACGGTAGTACTTTCAAACAAATCAGTATATAAAAATTATACATTTGTTATTATTATCATAGTTAAACACTTATTTTTAATATTATTTTGGAAATCCCGAATTCTTAAAATATATAATTAATATACTAGCTTTAAATTAAAAATTGTTTATGATATTTGTATGCTTGTATGCCGTGTTTGAGAGCGTAAATAATTTGAAAAAATACTGCAAAGAATTTGTATGCCATTTTAGCATAAATTAATTGAATAAAAAAACAATATAGACTAATACATACGTCATATTAAAATATTTATTAATTATAAATTATAATACCGTAGAAACACAAATTTAAACTATAAACTCGGGCAGTCTATTATAGTTAACGCTGTAGTACATAATAAGTTAATATTATTTGTAATCCTATATCTACAAAAGTACTTATTTAGTGGTGCAGTCGACAAAAGTGAAACATTCGTCTGTCTTCTAATAATATATAATAAACTCGTACAATAGGGTCTGTTTGAAATCGACCGCCATGCGTGGTATAGATTATTTTTAAGTCTTATACTGCAATTTCAACTGTCGGATTACGTAGTAGATTACAATATAGCAACTATCAAGTCATCAATTATTTCCCAAACAGCAGTATTATAAATAATAAATCATTTGTGAATTGTGGGTAACGATAAGAGCGTCCGAGTGTTCTAAACATGCGTGTGTGATTATCGTTTGAACTTAAACGGTTTTCAGATCACCTAAAAACGTCTCGCATGTTAGCTATTAATCTTGTATGAAACCATAAACACTTATTATACTACATAATATTTTCATCTTGAAATATTAGATTTTTGATAGAACTGGGTGAAATAAAACAATATTTCGTCATTTCTCTGGTGTAATTTATGAACACGACCAAAGGTGTCACGATTCATATTTAGCCACCTAATATTATATATTATGTATTAAAGTAGTATAAAAATAATTGAAAAAACAATTCTTACTAATTACTGGAATAGTGATGGCCGATGACTTAATTTTACGATATCGTCTTTTAATTATAGAAATCTTAAAACAATAATGTCCACAGTGCGCAATTCCTGATACTCTACAAAAACCCAATAGGTTTTTGGTTTTATTACATCATAAAATTACCTTTGTCAAAATTGGTATTTTTAATATCCACCACAACGCTCCAGATTCATTTTTAAGAACGAGTAGCTCAAATTCTTCTCGTATTCTTAGTGCTCGTCGGACAAAAATAATTTTTATATGTGATTACCCAATAATATATTAGCAATCGTATAATCTTTCGATAAAACCGGATTCGATACATCGACATAATATAGCTCCAACGATAACGAGCACAGAATTTCCGTCATGATATCAATATTCCTACATAATATAAAATACGTACTTAAGAGTAGGGTCCATCAACGTCGTCGGCCTCGACCACTCGATTGTCGTTGGGAAAATATCGATCGGCGCTCTTCGATTTTCACCCACCGATCGTCGTTCGACGGATTTTTTCTTTTAATATTTATGTTTATATCGGTTTGTTTTTTCTTTTCCAAGGTACATATCCGGAGGCGCCATATTGTTCTCCAAGTGGGAGTCCTGGGAGTTCTTCGACGGGTCGTACTTCTGCTTCATATCGCTGAGCACCATCGGGTTTGGTGACTTTGTGCCGGGCAACAGTATCACCGGCTCCGGTACCAGCCTCGGTACGGGCACCAATACCGGTACCGGTACGGGTCCTGGTAACCGATCCAGCGCCGGTACCGTCATCGAGCTGAGCTTCATACTGTGTTCCATGTACCTGATGCTGGGCATGGCCCTGATCGCCATGTGTTTCAACCTGATGCAACAGGATGTCGTGATGAAAATCCGGACGTGCACGGACATCGTTCGGAGGATCAGCAGGTGTAAAAACTGATCCATGTAGCGTACCCAGAGATCATCGTTCAGGATGGGTACGAGCGAGTTCGGAGTCGTGTGCATAACTGCCATGGTGTACCCACGCGGTTCGTAATTTGTTATTAAAATATTATATTACGCCGTTGTTGACCAAACGAACATCAGAAGTCGTATTCAGCTGCACTCGGACACCCGCTCTCGGGATTCGACCAAACGTCATTTTCCTGAATTACCCGCGAACGCCGACGAAAACAGGAATTACGGACGCCGATTATATTTAGTTCAATGCATTTTTTATTGTACTATTTTTAGGTTTTTTTAATGTATTTTATCTTTTTTTTTTCCCCGTTTTGTTTTGTTCCACTTACCCCCATTCGTGTAAATAAAAGTCATTATGTTTTACTTTATGAGTTGAATTTTAGTTTGCCGCGAGAAATTAACAGTCTGACCAGCGTGCTCTGAAACAGAAACACATTTATCTTACCGTCATAGGACAGGTAATCTCGTACTCACTCCCTCCTCCTCCACGGTAAAACCGTGCGATTTTCATTTTCTCCGTGTTTCCGCGGTCTTTTATACATTTTACCCTTGTATATATTATTATTATTATTATTATTATTATTAGTTTTACAATATTTCCGCAATTCCGCGTATAATTCATTACCAGAAAATGCGTTATTAATTAGTGAGCTTCCGGGCCCAAAACGTCGTATCATTTGAGTGCATGACAAAACAGAAAACATCTCACTCGTGCCAAACACCCACCACGTGTGGCCACTATATTACAACACAATTAACTTTAATGTAAAAATATGCATTTATTATGTGTACATGTAAATCTTTTACGAATTCAAAATATATATTGTATTGTTAAAATGTTATTTTTAATACTTATAATATTAAAGTTGATTATCATTAAACAAACTTAAATCTGTATTGTTATTATATTAGGTATTATTATAATAATTATTAGTATTTTTTTTTTTCCATTATTGTTTTTATTGAAACCGTGTTGGTACATTTGTACAAATACTTTATGCAGGTCACAGATATCCGTGATTTCCACGACGAATGGGTATATATATATATATATAACCTATATAGACAAACCAGAAATACAATATATATATTATGTATATAAATTATACAGTAGTATTAGTAAGTATACTGTATTGACATTAACCTGACCATGTAGTACAATAATGATGAATTTGACTATGACGTATTTCATATCTCCAGTAAGTACGTTGATATTATATGCTGTTCACAGTGTATCATAAAAGTAAAATGTATATTATTATGTAGATAGCGATGGTTTGATAACATACAATTATTTTATATGAATATATATATTTACAAACATTATATTTTTCTGACGAGAGATACTAGAAAAGAACGTCTTATGTTCTTATTTTTCTGCGTATAATTTTTTTAATGTCTTTTTATTTCATCTCATTCAATTTGGAATAGGTACATAATAATGTACAAAGCAGATAATATATTTTAGTTTTCAATAAAAATGAAAATCTGCTGCTTTATATCGTGTATTAATACCTTTCAAATACTTTATGTGAATCCTAAGACCCTAACTATATAATATTATGTATTACAATATTACGATTCCCTATAATAAGAACGATATGTGGAATGCCTGTACCGATTTGAGAGCAAAATAATAATTTCATTTTATAACCTACAAAAAGGTCTTTCTATTAAAAGAAAAATAATAATATTAATTTTACACTCACCCCAATCGTTTATAGTTATTGAAATTAAAACTTCGAGTTTACATTTTTGAGCTTGGAAATGTTTTATTCCGATAAAAAAATGAGTTGCCAAACCATTATTGACAAAAAGTGAATATTAAATGGTCTCACTGTGACGTAAACGTTTTGGGATTAAATGCAACCTGGGATGTTTACAAACTAGGCTTTCCCGAAAAAAAACTTGGCAAATAGGCCCAAAAAAGATATCTACAGTAAAAAGTATAGAGATACGCAAGTCATTAACTTGTTCATCCACAATAATACCGAGTTCGATAGCATCGACCGAGCATCAATAGGGTGGACTGCGGAAGTCCGATTGTAACTTCCACTATAAATAAGCCATATCATCATTGTCTAGGATTAGTGATCGATGAATCACTACAGTATCTCGTTTATAAGTAGGTTTCTGATTGGCGGTATTTCTTCGTCGCAATTATAAAATCAGAAAAAATACCGCGGTTCCAGTGTAACGAGTTAGGTATTGTTTGTCTTTCTTCTTAAGCACAATTAAAGATGATGATAATAATAATAATAGTAGTAAACCGATACAATAATACTATTTGTTTGTTTCAGTAATGGGATTGTATTTTCAAACATTCATTTAAGAGTCTTTACTTGCAATTACTTAGATATTAAATATGTAAATATAAATATATATTTTTATACAAATTTAAATAATAACGGGAATATAAAAGTAATAACAGTATAATATCCCCTCCATTACTCAAAAATAGAATTCCAAATATACAGTTAATTATTTTTATTTTTTCTCCATTCTGCGTACTAAATTATATTTTAATCATACCATTACTATTTTTCACAAAATTAAAATTCTATTAACATTTCTTTTAATAATTTATGGTTAAATATTTTGAATTGCTTATTTTAAACCACACCTACTTTGGATTATGAAAACAACTGGTTATTTATTATATTTCTATCAGTCATAATGCGTATAGGTACTCGTATTCAATACAAAAATACAAATACATAATATAATCAGTTTTAAAACTATATAGATTGAATAACTTATAAAACGTATTATACCTTTTCCCATACGAGGTATTGTGATGTCCTAAAACACAATTTAGTTTGTTCTTATTTTATTTTACATTCTAATATTTTATCTCAAATGTATTGATTTTTGGGCAAGAATGAAATATTTTATTCAAATGTAATCCAAACATATTATTTTCCCTGGCCTATGGGTGACCTTTTGTGTAGTTTTATCTTGTAATCTGAATTGTTTTCCAGTAGTTCATGACACACTGCAAACGATTTTCTTAACATTATGTTTACTTATATTTTAAAGGTTTATTCTTTGTAATCTGACCTGTTTCAGGACACGAAACTGTAATATTGAAGTTACAACTTTAACTTTTCTAATGTGTTCTGACAATTATAACAGCTAATTACAATCCATCAAGGTTTAACGTTATGTGAATTGCATTTACTATTATTCCAAATATTTTAATGCATCGGAAAAAAACGAATATATGACATAGCTTTCTAAAATGCTGTAGTTTGCTATGAAAAAAATACATTTAAATTATTTTAACAAAATCATTTTACCAGAACCAGAGACACCAGAAAAGCTTATCCCATAGAACCTCGGATATCCATTACAATATGTCTCATAATCATAGATAGGTGAACCTAAAACTAAATAATTAATTAAGCTGACTAATCAGATTACCCTTTGACCCTGTGAGTCTATGAGAATTGAAATAATTGTAAGACAATGAGTAAAATTATATTCCCCAACTTTTTTTATTTTCAATTTTTAATCAACCAACATTAAAACTGTTCGATTATACTAAAATCCAGTACGTTAATATAGTTTGTTGAATCAACAATCATTTGTATAATATCAGATGATTAAACATTTATACACAATTTATAAAATCCATTACTTGCCGTATACTTTACGATCTATACTCTACGATACTTTTTCAAATATTTACTGAGCAAAAATGTAAATTATTACTTGAAATCAGACTTCACCGAATAAATTATTTTCAAGGATCACTATTAAACAATTTTCTCTAATAAGAGACCAAAAATATGATAAATTATAATCATAATCTATTCGTACAATTTACGACATCCAACACGAATCACTGCATTGTTCTATTTTCTTTTAAAAAGTATGGTACTTACGAGCCCAGTCAAATAAAAAAGACTCTCAAAAAAAGACTCTGCGTTCCAAAATACTATATGATTTTGTATGAGCAGTAGTTTTGTTACTCCACAATTTAAAATCTCTATCAGAGTATAATGTAAACATACATAAACAAAAATTCGGACAAGATACGGAGACCGGTCTAAGGTCTTCGAGAGCACTCTTCTTGTTTTGCTCACCTCAGTGCAGTTGTACACACGACGTATAGCAAGAAGTATATTTTTCATATTAAACTTAGAGCGATGACAATAATGATTAATAATAACAATAAGAGAATTAAATTCATTTTCAATTTATGCTTAGGATTTTTCATAGACGATTTCTTGAGAAAGTTTTTAATCGTTTGAGTTATAATTGTATAAATTACACGAAAAAATCAATTAATCTATGGAACGTAATATTCGTAAATGACTCCAACTTATCCAAGCATACCAAAAAATAATATGTTATTGATGTTTATTGTATCGTGTGATTGAAATTGTAACGTGTCACTCAAAGAATCCAATTATTATGGTATCATTTCGCTCTATAGGTAATTACTACGGGATTGAATAAGTACTTCACCTTCCAGTCGACCTAAAAAATGAAAACTAATAGAACTTGAGTAAAATAATATCTAATAAATTATTGAATACGAAAACCTTATATTACATTCGAAAAATCCGAAACTTTCATTGATCAACTTCGATAAATCTCGTCAAATACAGTACCTTATGTATAAGTACATTATTGGGATTGAAAATGACATTTTTTTTTTTGAGGGGAGGAAGCGGATAAAAAGACCTTTTTTCAAAACGCCATACCAATCGTACAAATGATGAGATAAAAGTTCTAAAAGGAGATTTGAAGTACCCGGCATGTCTTTTCGAAAATGCTTTGACGCTTTTCATAAATTTAGAATTTAAACCAATTTAATATTTTATGAGATACATAATATTACTCTTAAATTAAAACTCTCAAATATAATCTTATATTATATCCATAAGCAAAAAAAGCACTAACACTTTTCAAAAATTCACCCTCATTTTTCCAAAGTTAATTATTTTCCCTTGCGTTTAATAATTATGTCACAATGTGACTTTCAAAACCCTTTACATTTTTAACATAGACCCTCCTATGTATCTGTACACTTTGACTTTTCCATACATTTAAAAAAAAAAGCTGAAAAGTCGTGTATACATTAAATTAATACTACAAAAAATAAATAACAGACCAACAGCGGAAACGGAACGCAGAATAGTTAAATGAATATTGCAAGATACACATGTTGTTAAACGGAAAAATAATTTCTATGTAAAATGAGAGAAGGTGACAATATGGTCACGTAAGTATAAAATAAAATAAACTCAATTTGCGTCATGACGTGAACATATTTTAAATCAGAATCGTTTTTATTATAATTACCTGTTTTCATTCAATCATAGTTTTTTTTTGTAGTAGTAGTAGTAGTAGTAGTAGTAGTAGTAGTAGTAGTAGTAGAACTAAACAACAAAATTTTGTTAACAATTTATATTCTTTAAGTTGCCCCTTGTAACAGTGGTTTTCTTTAAAATTGTAATACTTTAAGCTTACAAGTTTTTTTAACCATACATTCTGGATACAATTAGTGTGTGGATTTAAATTAACAGTGCTCCAGCGAAAACAATAAAAGGTCTACAACATTAAAAACTAAATTAGGGAAACAATTTTAATTTTGTTTTTTTTTCAGTTTAATTTTTGTATGTTGGTTTTGAGTAGGTACCTTAGGCGTATAAAAAATATTCAATTAGAAGGTTAAATCACTATTTGCATACCTGTTTAAACTTTACCA